CTGCTCTCAACGTGGCCTCTGAAGGTGTCTTTCCTTCCTGCTTTATTCCTTCCTGGAAAAAAGGCCCCAAACCCTCAGATATTTTTTTTTTTCCATTTTCTTTTTTTCACACTAGAAATGCAGGTCTCGTGGGCCCTGACTGTAGAAGCAGCAAAAGAACAGAGGACGTGAGCTGAAAAACGGGAAGATTTTTTTAGGGGTTTTGTTGCTGGCTTTTTTTTTTTCCAAATTGGGCTGATTGACGTTGGTTTTGACTGTAATCCGTGTAATTTAAATGCCGCGTGCTTCGGAGGGAGCGTGTCTTTGTTACAGACCGTACTCCCCCGGCTCTTCGCTTCGGCGGGCATCCTTGAACATCTAAAAAGGTTCACAGAAAAGAGCAAACTTCTCCTTCTTGATATTTCCATAGTAAAAAGACAAGGGTTTTTAAAAGGTGCCTCTTTGTCTCTTCTTGCATTGCAAAAAGGGGAAAATGGCTCAAAGCAGTTAATTAGAAAAATTCAGGACAGTCCTTCTCAGGCTGAGAGGGCCTCACCCTGCCTGACACAAAGCCAGGTCTTCCCGAGGTTTTGTTTTTCCTGGATGTCTGGGCGCCAGAGGAGAACAAAATGTGAACAGCCCCAGGTTTTTTATTATTTTTCCTTCATCCTGCTTAAAACATATGTCTTGTCACTTTCCGTGGAAATGTTTGTTTAGCTAAACAACCCACAAGCAGGTGGGAGAAGAAAACTCTTTGTGAAAATGACAGCTCTCCTCCTCTGAAAAAGACTGAAAAAGCTCAGTCTTACTCTTCTGGCACAGACGGGGAAACTTTTTGTTTCTTACAGTCCCAGATAAGAAAGAAAAAAGTAAAAAAACCACAGGCTCTGGAGAGCTTTCTTTAACGTGGATATTATCAGAAAGCAAAAGGCCAAGGCCTGGCATCTCTCCCCCTTTTTAACATAATTTTTGTCCTGCCTTTTGCCTGAGTGCAGCAGGACTGGCACGTGCTCTGCAGAAGTCTTTGTTCCTCCATGGTTGGGGCCTTACCTCGGGCCGGGTGGGCGCTCCCCGCGGCCCCGGCGCGGGCAAGGCTGAGCTACCGTGCTTTCCGAGCATGGAAGTGAATGTTTCCGGAGGCAGCGGTGTGTCCTGCAGGAGCCCAGTACCGAGCCT